TAAATGCCCGTCAGCTGAGGAATGGATAAAAAAGATGTATTTTTGTACAATAAAGTGCTATTCAGCCATAAAGGATAAACTGGAGACTTTTATAAGTAAATGGATGTAATTTGAGACCATATTCACAAGTGAAATAAATCAGACATACATGAATAAACATCATATTGTGTCACTAGTGTAAGAAGCCGAAATTGTTGCCCCCTGATTGTCATGTTTTGAATTTTTTTTTCTATTTGAAATAAAATGGATTTGGGAGAGAGAATGAGAGAAAAAAAGAGAGAAGGGAAAGAAAAAAGGAAAGAAGGAAGAAAATAGTTCTCAGAAAAAGCTCTAGTGTAGGCAGACGTGGTGGCACAACACCTGTGATCCAGTTCTTTAGGAAGCTAAAAGAGTTCAAAGCCAGCCAGTCAGCCTAGCAAGACCGCCCAAAAACTAAGCAAAAGCCTTTACTCTGGAAACCTGTCACCATCAGAGCTCTGTAGGATGAGACTTTTATTTCCTTTTTTTGATTATATATGAAACATAAGCAAACAAAATATAAATGAATAAAAACAGGATATGTGGAGAGAATAACCTAAAACATAAAACTCTTTCAATTGTTTACCAGTAGAAAATATAAAATTTAATATGTTGCTTAATAAGGAAGCTGTGAATTTTTCTCTTATTAAAAAGTATTTCAGAAAAGTTAGAATTTTAGGAATGAGACATTCTTTAGGACATACTTTATTTTTAGGATAGTTTGAAAATTTTGACTAATGAAGTCCATCTGTGATGTTTGCATTTGTAAAGAGAGATGTGAATTGCTGTCCAACCTCACTGCGCCACACTCATCTGGAGGCCTGGTGCGGGCATCTCTTGTGTCATCCTGCAGCAGACAGCAGGATGAGTTCCCTCGTCTTTGCAGCAGCATACTGTGAGGAGGGCTGGATGGCTGAGGCTGCACATACTCCCAGGCCTTGGGTGTCAGGGAAGGAGGTCCAGGTGAACCCTGCAGCCAGCCCATTGCTTCAAGAGTTTGGAAAGAACTAGGGTCACACACTCTTACTTCCTGTATAGAGACCAGTTCATCCTCCCCTTGCTGCTCAGTCACTTGCCAGCAGTGGACACAGTCGTTGGCTCTCCAACTTCTAGTATAAGCCTGTGAACAAACCCAGAGCACAGCCCCAAACTGATAGTACTGGTGCCATTCCTGCAACTGGGGATCACAGGCTACCTGGCCAGTCCACGGGGCTCGCTAGTGAGAAGTACTGTCTCTTTGGAGATCTTTGGAGATCCACTGAGCCACACACCTGGGTTACCTCCCATATAGTTCAGCCTAACTGCAGGTGCCTGCAAGGATCAGCACAGGTCAGGGCATGTAAGATAAGCCTGCCCCCAGGAGAGGCATTATCCCAGGACTGAGCTGGAGGAGGTAAGTATAGAGATAGGCCTGGAGAATCTCAATGGACACTATCCCCCTTCCATAGAGTCTCTTCTAGGTCCCTTAAGTATCTGGGAAGACAGCGAAGCATCCTATACGCAGCCAAATTCGGACTCACCTTCTCCTCCAGGTCATTCTGGGCCCCTGGATCCACCACCCACTATGCACTGACAGGAACACCAACTCCAAGCTCACAGTCCACAAATGATGAGGTGTAGCGTGAAGAGTGCCCTGCCCTCAGGACCCTTAATGTCACACCTTCCATATGACATCACACTCCTGAGAACTCACTAGAGGGCCACAGCCCCATATGGGCCACCTGGTTCCATATTTATTGTTTTGACTGACCACTATCTGATGCTGCAAAGTAAAAATGACCCCACTTTGACAACCTGGACCCTAAAGGGAGCAGCTGGCCTTGCCACATCTTTAGAGTTGCTAAAATTCCAGTTGACAGAAACAGTCAAAACCAGAGGGTTCAGCATTGGCAGTCTAGCCACTACCATAAAGGCCCAAAGGTCCCTGGCTTGCTGGGTCTTCATTTAAATTTCTTACCAAGGACCTTACAGTCTGTCTGTTAAGAAATTTACTTCATTTGCAGTTGCAAAATCTCTAAATAAAGAGATGGCTATAGTAAAGAGAAAGCACCCAAATCCAGCCCCACCCATTCCTAGGGGGACCTTAGTAACAGGAGCCCCCTACTGGGCAGTGGGCAAGAGCAAACGGAGGTGAGACAGATCTCTGGAAACAAGCCTTGTTGCCATAGGGCCAGATTCTACTCCTAAAGCACTGTTTTCCATTTGTGGGACATAGAAATGTAGAGCAAAGTTTGGGACATTTACCAAAATCAGATTAAAATGCATAAATCCTTTGAGCAAAAAATAACCAGAGCATGTACCCTCCAGATACTTGCCTCTGTTCCAGGTTACATACTGAGATACTGTTTGTACTCACAAAGATGGAAACGCAGATCTCACACTTCACCACAAAGCAGTACAAATGGGTGCAGGTTGTAGGTCAGAGTGCATGCTATCCATCATTCCCACTTGCTGATACGTTCAGAGACTTTCAGCTGCGTGTCTAACAGCAGCAGTGACAGTGCAGAGTTAGACACCGACACTCACTAATCAGATGGAAGAGGTTGGTGTGAGGAGCCCATTGTTTCCCCATGTACAATTTAGCACCACGTTATTCAGGGAAGATGTGAAGATGCCTGTTTATACCAGATGAGAGCAGACGGAGACGCTGAGGAGCCAATTACTAAGACTAGAGGTGAATTCCAACAGTTGGGGAGCAGTGGGCTCCTGCAGATAGGGATAGGGGGCCCACCGCCAAGCAGGGAAGAATTTCTTAACAGACAGAATGTGAGGTCCTTGGTAAGAAATTTAAAACAGCAATTAATGAAGAATGAATTTCTTTTGTTAAAGCAAAACCATATTACTTGTACCTCTGCTCTGATTTTTGGTCCTTTCCAAGTTTGCAGCCTCTGCTCAGCCCCACCCAGCTGCAGAAGCTTTCCTTTTTTCTCTGCATTCACAGTCCTGCCTCCCTGGTGTCTGTCACTGCTGCTTGAATGGTTTCAGTGCCTTTGAGTCTTCCATGTTTCAGTTTCCGTCAAGATGGAGACTGCACATTTCTGTTGTGCTTTGTGCTAGATCCTGTCACAGGCAGCAAGCTACAGCTCAGCCACTTCTGGTTACACACTCACTGGCCTTTATGGCCCCAAGGCAAGCACACTGATGATGGGCGTACTGTGCCCCACAGCTTTCCTGATATGTCTACAGCAGGATGTTATCTAGGCATTTTTCAAAGCTTAGCCACCCAGGACCACCACTCTTGACACCATCAACTGGTATCAACAGGTATTATGTAGCAGTGAGGCCTTCTTTTTTTTCAGCCCTGGATCTAGCAGCTGAATACTTGTGCATGCATATGGCCTTCTGGAGTACCTAGCAGATAGAGCATGCCACCAATCCCTCTGAGGAGGACAGGTGTTGGCTGCAGAGAGCCCTCCCCAGCCTGGGTGCTTCCGCCTCCAGGTGGCCCCTTTTAACTTTGCCACTGGCATCAGCCTTGGCTTTGGGTTTCTTTTTAGTGTTTAGCTCCTCAGCTTTCCTACGGGGCTTCTTGGAAGATTGAAGAGCTAAATTTTCCTGCGGTTTTTAAAGAGACTTCTCTGTCCAGTTATCAAGACTATTTGTGACTTGCTTCTTCCTTCTCTCTTACCCAGCTTTTCCACCCACACGGCCTGTGTATGGCTTGGGAGGTTATGTTTTGTTTTTTATTCCATCAGGTTTCAGTCTTTTGCAGCCATATATGTGAGAAAAGGCCAAAATTAATACCGAGCTGTGGTTGAAGCCTGTTTTATGGGTGCCTGTGAGCCAGTCACTTCTCATTCCCCTGCTAGGAGGGAAGAGTGCCAGTCTGAGAATGGTCAGCTTTCAAAAGGGGGTGCAGAAGAAAAAGTATCCTGGCCAAGTTTTCATAGGGACAGCATTCAGAAAGAACACAAGACACATGGGGAGGGTGAATGTTTGCCGGGAGTGCTTTCTGTTAAGACCCATGTATAAACAAAGCGTGGTGGTGGCAGAGCCCTATAATCCCAGCACTTGGGAGGTTGAGATAGAAGTGCCACAAGTTCAACACCAGCCTGGGCTACATAGTAAGACCCTGTCTCAAAAAAAAAAAAAAAAAAGCCCCATGTCAAAAATAAAAGAGACAATATAAAACTCAGTGTATTGTTTTTCTGAGATGAACAAATGCTTTCTTCAGTTTCCAAACATCACTTATCTATTCCTTTCCTAGTCTTTCAGCTTTTAAAAATTATGCTTTAACCTAGGTATCTTCCTAGTTCATAGTCACTGTGTGCGGGTGTGTGTGAGTGTGTGACACGTGGCCACAACATCACTTCAGGGCAGGGTTTAACACCTCACCAGAAACAGGCAGCAGTGACTCCCTGGGAATCACCACCTGTTGAGCTGAGCTGATGGGTCCAACCCGGGCCTCACACACAGGGAGGGCAAGAAAGCAGCAGAGTCTGCTCCTGGGGATGCACATGAAGCAGGGCCACTTCTTACTGTTAAAGATAGAAAACAAAGAGCTACCTTGGAGCTTGGCTAGGCTTAGTTTAAAATGCTCGTTTGGTAGCCTGCCAGGTACCTATCCCCTACCCCACCCTTTGTTAATTCTTGGTACAAGCTCTGCTGTCTTCTACCACTTAAAGTCATTTTGCCTGTCTGCTTGTGGCCCAGTTTGAAGAGCTCTGTGGGGAGCTAGTTCAAGGAGATGAAGTACTTGAATGTGGCCTCGTGCCTGGGACCAGCTTAGCACTGGGGTCAGGGAGGTTGTTAATGGGCTGCTCTAGTGTCTATATACATCGAGGCCCCACATGTGGCTTTGGAAGGCTCAACAGAGCAGTTCTGTCTGGGCTCGGAGAGCTGATAGGGAGCGGTTGGAAAGGAGCAAGCATGACGAGCTGGGGTTTCAGGGCAGCAAACGGGCTGTGGGACTTAGCGGAGTCACTTGGAGTCACTCATGTGTGACGTGTACTGCTCACTGTTTGGTCTCTGGACTCTTTCAGAAGAGGCTGACCACTACAGCTTTGGGGCAGGTACCCTGTCAAGGAAAAAGAAGGTGCTGGTGACACTGAGGGATGAGGGTCTGCGCCGGCGTGCCCACCTTGACATCAGCATGCCACACGACTTCCGCCCAGTGTCCTCCATCATTGACGTGGACATCCTCCCTGAGACGCATCGCCGTGTGAGGCTGTACAGACATGGTTGCGAGAAGCCACTGGGCTTCTACATCCGTGATGGCACAAGTGTGCGGGTGACCCCCCATGGGCTAGAGAAGGTCCCAGGCATCTTTATTTCCCGAATGGTACCCGGGGGGCTTGCAGAGAGTACTGGGCTGCTGGCTGTGAATGATGAGGTTCTGGAGGTGAACGGCATCGAGGTAGCTGGGAAGACACTCGATCAAGTCACAGACATGATGATCGCCAATAGCCACAACCTCATTGTCACCGTCAAGCCTGCCAACCAGAGGAACAACATTGTCCGAAGCAGCCGCACTTCTGGCAGTTCTGGCCAGTCCACAGACAGCGCTGCTAGCCACCACAGCCTGCTTGCCCATGACCTGCAGAACTGCCATCCTGACGAAATGGAGAGTGATGAGGAGGCTGACATCGTCATCGAAGGGGCCTTGGAACCTCAGCACATTCCCAAGCCACAGGGTGCGCCTTCCAGCACCCTTTCTCGGGCTAATGGCACTAGCCTTGTGGACAGGCTGCATCGGGACCTGGCCCTGCACAGCTCTGGGCGGGAAAGCAATGGCAGCATTCACAGACTGCTCAGCTCCCTGAAATCCGACCCCCGCAATAGCCTGATCCTTCCCCCAGGAGGGGTGGAGGAACACGGGCCAGCTATCACCCTCTAGGGCCCAGGCCACAGGAGGAGGCCACAGAGCCCAAGACCCAGACAGACCACGTTGGCATTCCACCTGCGGATAGGAGAGCACTGAGAGGAGCGAGCTGGTAATGCTACTAGTGATTCCAAAAGTAAAATTTCCAAAGGGAAACAAATGTTTTACATTTTTATATCAATTTTAAAGTAAAAATAATTGTATATTTCATTCCCTCCTTTTTTAACCACTCCCACAACTGTATTCTTTATGGACAGAAAAAAAAAAAATACTGCCTATTTTTATAGGATTTCTCCGTAGAACTTTACACATGCACACACTTTGGGGCAGGCTTGAGTGCAGGTCCCAGAAAGACTTCTGAGTAAATATAAAACACACTTTATTTTTAAATTATAAAAATACTTCATCTTTTAAAATGAAGCTTTAAAATAACCTTTTTTAAAGTGGAAAAGTTCATATTTTTAACTTAACTGGTGCAGAAACACCCCACGATACTGTGTTTTCTGCTGATCTGGTGGAAGGCTGCAACAAGAAGGCAGGGACTGTTCTTAAGGACAGCGCACCCGAATTTGTGACAGGTATGACCACAGGAGAACTGCAGCTTTCACAATGTTGGACACCGGTTCAGAGAACCCAGGGAGGGGGAGTCACACAAGAACACACTGTGGTCCTGGCTGTGGAGCTGCATTCATGACCTCATCAGAGGTGCCAGCCCATCCCCAGCCTTCCCAGAACCAGTGTAGAAAGCAGGCTGGATTGGAAGGTGAGGCTGGGCAGCACCTCAGCAAGGTATGCTTCAGAGCCAGTTTGTGTTCTGAGGTGAGTCAGCCCGCTCCTCTGGGTTATTTGGCCCCAGGGCAGTTCTTACCTTGTTTTCAGCAGAAGTGCTGGACCTTCTCGGCAGACTGAGGTCTGAAGAACAGGCAGCTGAATGGATGCAGCTGTCTTTACTGCTAAAGTGGTCCGATTCTAAGTCAGAGTGCTACATGCTAATTTCCATTCCTAGGGTAGTGGTTAGTGGCAGGAATTTTACTTTTAACTATAATGAATCTTGTGGAACTTAATTGTTTTGACAAATATTAAATACCTTATCACTTTTAACTTAGGGATTTAAGTTTGACCCAATTAAATTTTATATGAAGTGTGTTTTGTTTGAATATAATTTCAAACTTTATACTTTACAAACAAACTTTGACCAAATAAATCTTTCATGTAAATCCAGGTAAAAAAATACTATTACTGGGTTTTAAGGCTGTGAGCTCACCTGTTTCTCCCCTTATGTAGCACCACCTGCTGGTCAGTGGCAGAACTGTCCTGATTTTGTGACTCAGAAACAGTGCAGCTCAACATTCTCATTTGTCTTTGGTTCCTTCAAAGAGAATTATTTTCCCTTTGGAAACTATTTACTGGACAGAAGTAGCTTTTGCTAGATAACCATGTCTCCTACGCTGGTGTTTTGAGTCTCTCGCTGTGTGTAAAGGACACTGACCACATGTACCTAAGCACAGGAGGCCGCAAGATGCCTCCCCACCACGTCCCAGTGAGGGGCAGACCCACAGACTTATTCCTGGGTGCCAAAGAGCCAGCTCTGCTACCACAGAGGAGTATTACAGACCAAAATTCTAATGCGCGGTTACTGTTACAAAGAAATGTTCACTTACCAAGTTACTGCTGGTTGCTGCCTGTGGAATAACTGGGTCTGCTACCAAGTGGGAAAGTTGTATTTCCACTCATTTTAAATTGTTGGGGCAAATGTGAATCAGTATTTTAAAGAAAGAAAAAGGCTTACTCTGAACTTATGCCTGTCGCTCGTAATTGTAAAAATTACGAACTGCATAGATTAGCTGCTGAAGAGTTTTTCTATCCAGGTCTGTAGTTCTGCCATGTTGTTTTCTTCTTTAAAAAAAAAAAAAACTGTCATATATTAAAGGGTTTTATATATATATATATGAGAATAAAATTTTGTTTTTGAGTTAACAAAATGCAATACTGATACATTTCACTTGTGTTCTAAACAAAGGTAGAGTGTTCATGCCAGTGACAGACACCGATCACTCTTCCAGGGGCCATACTTTTTCATGTAATCTTCACACAGTCTCTGCAAGTGTTATTGTTCCCATTTTACAGATGAGAAAACTTTTCTACAATGAGTCTCCAAATCATTGAGGAAAACTTTTCTGATGTGTACAACCTTCCTGAAATGCACTCTGGTTTGCAGTGTTCAGTCATTCCGACATTACTAAATGTATACTGCGTCCCATTGGGGTTACTGAAATCACAAACAGTGGTGGCAGTGAGCACAAGCAACCGCTGGAGGAGCCCATGCAGCCTCGCAGGTGTCCTCAAAATGCAGGTAGCTGAGAGCTGACTGGCACTCTGACAAAATGGAGCTGACAGTCTGGCACCAGGGAATTCTATAAAAAACTCGTGTAGCACAGTGTGAGGAGCAGATGTTTGAGTGTAAGCAGAGGCAACACATTGCTGGTGGTCCACATCACAAACCAAGAGTATCTATCTGTGCTGCTTGAGGACCATCCTGCCAGTGGATTTTTTTATCACTAATCAGGGTCATTTAGTATCTCACAACTTTACATGAAGTAATGACAGATGGGCTGTGTCTATCACAGGGCACTGTGAACCCTTGTGTGAGAAGACAGGCACTAGACTGGGTGGCGGGCTGTGCTGCTGAAGGAGAAGCTCACTTACTAGCAGAGAAGTGAAGTTTCTCAGTGGCTTTAAAAAGAAAGCAGTCTCAATGATCTGACTTACAGCAATGTGAGCCTGGAACCCCCTGGCCATGTGGAAGGCACCATTTCCTGAAACCCTGTGCCTGCTGAACTGGGACCGAGCCTTACTTCCTCAGGAAGGTTGGCTCAACATAAGCACGAGGCCTTGCTCCTGTGGGCTGGAGTTTGTTCGGGGAACATGCCGGTCCACCCCAAGGCTCTGACTCAGATCAGGGTGGAGTCTGACAATCTTTAGTCTCGAGGAGTTTCCAGGTGCTGCTGACACTGCAGCCCAAGGACGACAGAGCCATCAGCCAACCCCCTCTAAAAGTTATCAAGAAGGTAGCTTGCCCAGGAGCCTGGGACCCATGAGTGAGGGCTCATTCAGAGTGTATGGAGTTTTCATCCACCACATTAGGTGCTGCTGCAGACACTGTAAAGTAATATATGCACCCAAACTGTCACCCAGTACTTTCATCCTGAGCCCACCCTGCCATGCTGCAATGCCACACCACCACATGCTCTGACGACTTTGCTCCTTTCTCGTGTAACATCTGTCTCCCAAAATACTTAGCCCAGGTACCTCCAAATCCAAGCAAAGATGCATGCTTCATCTTTTTTTTCTTTTTCATCACAAAAAAGAATTAAAGAGCTTTCAAGTACTGAGACTTTTGTCAGTAATGAAACATTTCTAGGGAGAGGCATAAATGCTTATGGCATTAATAAAAAGCAAACAAGACAATCCAGCATGCTCTCAGCACACCAGTGAGTGAGCCACGTTACATATTCTGCTCCATGCTTTGAAGGAAAACACAGACATGCCAGCACATGAGCCCTTGAAAAGAACTGTACATTACACTTGTCGCATACAGAAGCGACAGCAAAGGCACCAGTGCTGGAGACATTCCAGCAGTGTTCGACACAGAAACTTTTTAAGGAAGAGTCCACGGTTAGCCCAGGTTGGGTAATAAAAAAGCCATACAATGGTAGATTTCTATTAAGACACAGCCATAATCAAGGCACACTTCACTTGAACAGCACCTGAGCCCAGCTGCACAGAGACACAGGGATGAGGAAACATCCCTTGCTCAGGGCAACTAACCACAGAATGTGAGTCAGCAAGAAAAAATTTTTCCTAAGCACTGTCTCTCACTTTCTCATGATCCTTGCCTTTGAGTGCACTTTGGAGAGGGAGCATTTTAGATGAAGATTCTTGAGGACAAACTAAGAACAAACCTCACCCTTAGCAGTGACCAGTTTATGTGACCAACCCAGTCTTCCCTAGTGCTCCCCTCGTCCCCCCTTCTCCTGACCCCTGCCTTCAGCAGTTAGTCTTGCACACAAAAATGCCTTCATCACTGATAGCTACTGCCTGTTTTGGAGCACTAGCGACATACCAAGGAGGAAAGTGTATTCAAAGCTGAACAGCAGCAGGCAGACAAGACATCACCCCCACTGCTGCTGAGTGCAGCACGGAGACGAGAAGGGACACCGTCAGCATCCACCCAATGCTAGTAGTGTCCACAGACAGTTTCCATCTCTCCGGCTATCACCTGGGCTTGGGGACACCTCACGCACGCCCCATCTCTAGCTATAGTGCAGGCCCCGACCCTGGATCTGGAGTCACTTTCCCTGGTGCTGGGAGGCTTCGCAGCAGCTAGGTCTCAACTGGACCTGCTGCCTGGTTATAAATTCTTTCATTAGGGAAAACAGTAAATGGAGTGAGGTAGGCATACAGAGATAAATCCTTAAACCCTGATGCAATTTTAAGATCAAGAAATGTGTATTAGCCCATTGTCTGTTACTAGGAATAAATACTTGGGCCTGGAAACTTAAAAAGTAAAGGCCTACTCAGATCACACTTCTGTGGCCAGCACCATGGTGGAAGTGCGCTTGGGGTGCAGGGGCCAATGTAGGTGTCACATTAACAGGCAGGAAGCCAGAGAGGGGCCAGGCTCAGAATTTTACAACTCTCTCAGAGGAACCTGTTAAGGGCCCCATAACAAATAATTCATCCCAGAGAGGCAAAGCCGACAAGCTAAGAACCCCCACTGAGCCCTCCCTCCTGCAGATCCTCTCAGCACTGCCACGGTGAGGCCAAGTCTTAGCACGTCTTTGGAGACAGGCCACGCCAAGCCACAGCACAGCTCCTTGGATACTTTTAAAAGCCTTCTGAGACAGCAGGCCATGTTATGTACAAGTGTATGTGGGTATTCAATTTTAGATTTTATTACTATAAGAATAACAGTCTCATTCTGGAAAATTTTTAAAATATCAAGTAGTTAAAAACCTCCTAGTATACAAGATAATTTCTGTTCTTGATATTTTCATGTTTCTTGAAAAGCTGTCAAAGATAACTTGTTGCTAGATAATTGAGATTCTACACAAAATGGTACACCTTATTCTTTAATGTAACAGTTTTCCCATGGCAATAAAAGTTCTTGGAAAATAGTACTTTAATAGCTGCAAAGTAAGGAGATACTTAAATTAATTTTCCCATTTTCTTGCTGATAGATACTGGGTTCTTTCCAGTTTTTCTAATACAAAGATCACCAGCAGTATGAAGCTGAGTTTAGATTTTGGATTATCCCCTTCAGATACATTGCTAGACATGAAATTAACCAAAAGGTAGGAACATTTTTAAGGTTTTGGTTTTCACTTTTTCCTTTGAAAGTAGCATCACAGAGAAGTTTCAAGGACAGCACAAAGAGCTCTCCTAAATCAGTGATGGCAAGCAAACCTTTTAGAGCACCGAGTGGTAACAAATAGCCTGCCATGGCCCACATGCCATAGGTTTGCCCCCATCCCCACCACCCTAGATCCTCAACTGCTGTTTCCCCAGACAAGGACATTCTCCTACATAGCCACAACACAACTATGAGGGATAAAATTAATATCAAAAAGGTGTGACTCTCTAGCCCCTCTACTCAGGTTTTACCAGTCATCTGGACAACGTCCTTATAACAAAACAACACACTCCAGGATCACTGCTATACTTAGTGGCTTTCACTGTCCTTCAGCCTGAACAGTCCTTAGCCAGGCCTGGGTCTGCCTGACCTTGACACTTCTGAAGATTGCCAGCCAGTCCCTGTGCGGCATCTCTCCCCATTTGGTCTTGTCTAACAGCCCTCATGGCAACATACCTTTATAGGGACTCTCACAGAGACTCAAGGGCCCTAACAGATGGCTCTGCTCCCTACAAGAAGGTGGCATCTGCCAGGCTTTCTCATTGTAAAGACATTGTTTTCCCTTTGGAGTGCTTAATTATTTTATAGGGAGGTATTTTGAAGCTAAGGATATATCATGTTCTTCATCAATTTTTCAAGTAATTCTTTATACAGCAAACTCATGGACTCCCTATTCATATATTATTGTTTTGATATCAAAATATTTGACTAGTAAAAGCCCTCTTTACATCTTTTTTCCTTTACTCCGCACTCTCAGAGCAGACCCCTGCCTCCTCCTCCTCTTCCACATTCCCTGCCTCAGAGAGGAAATCGGCCTTTCCTTCAAGCATTCTGGCTCCCCTTGTAGAGGATGGTGTTCAGAAGTCCAGACCTAAGCTCTGAAGGTGTACCTTCTTCCTGAGAGCAGAATCCGGGCATCACACATTTGTGAGGGCCACATTAAGGAATCGTTTGTGTGGGTGTCACATACGCACGCACACACACACACATGCAGGAAGAGTCAGCCACAGGCCTGGACTAGTCTTGTCCCTATGCATCCCCAGAAGGACCTGTCTCCCCAACAGATAGTCAGCTGTCCCCTCAGAGTATGCTCAACAATGTGCTCATCAGCAATGCACACAGTCTGTACAACAGTGCCAACTGACAGTGAACCCACTTTCCTTCTGGGATCTGGAGCCTTCTGTGCACCTGGGAGACTTAACACTCCAGTAACCATGCAGGTCTCAGACCCTGTGAAGGTGCCTTGTGATTGTCCCTTGTGGGGACACGTGACTCATGTTACAACCTATTAGCTGGAGGTTAAGAACATCTGTGATTCCCCAGGAAGGGCTATTCTGGTTCTCATACCTGGCTTCCTCTAAACCTTACCTCAGGAGCTGTTGGCCTGAAACCTTTTTAAGAAATTGCAGCACAAGTAAAAGAAACTTCAAGAGTTCCATGGGTCCTTTTAGGAATTTATCAAGTCTGGGGGTGCTCCTGAAAAGTCTCATATGTATGTGCACACACATGCATGTGCACATTTGTATCTCCATCAGTTTCTAACTAGATACTGATACCACTGCCTTCCGTTTCAACTCAGTTCATTTTTCTCTTTATTTGCAAGAAACTTGTTTCAGTCATCCTTAATGTACTTGCTGATCAGTCTCCCTGATCTCAGCACTACCGACCTTCCTCATCTCCAAGCCCTACACACCCACAAGCCTCTTTGCACATGGACTTCACACCCCTGCACATCTGTCAGCCCCGTGGCCCTTCCCACAGGAAACCCTGAGCCATGTACACTGACAGTGTCCATCCTTCCCCTACTTTGGACTTTCTCACTTTCCTGAGACTCCACCACCAGCTCTGGGCATTACAGCTCCCTTCCTCTCCTGCCCTAGCTGGACTCTGCCTCAGTGCAGGACCAAGAGAAAGTAGGGGAGGAAAGTAAAAGGGGGTTGGAGCACAGGGTGTAATGGCTATGTTGGTTTTATCAGCCTCACTTATCTAGCAAAATTATTAAAAAAAAAAAAAAAAAAAAAAAAACCTCTCAGTTTATCGGATCTGATCCCAGGCCTCAGTTTAAAACCCACAAGACCAATTTTTTTGCCACTCTCTCTCTAGAGCTCCTCACATGGGTAGTGCCCCTTGGGAATGGCTCCCCTTAGTCACCTCATACTGCTGCAGCCCAGGACAGGCAGCACCTGCCTGCACAGTTCCATTCAGAAGATGCAGCTTCTCTGCCACTTGCTTCCACAAACTCTTAACTGCTCTGCCCAGTCCCACTCATGATGTGCATGGGACACAGGACAGGTCCGGGGTTGGGTGCTCTTCAAGGGCAAGAGCATGCTGCTTGTGTTCCCCCCAGCATCGAAAGGATCCAGCAGGGATGTGAAATGTCAATCAGTAATAGACTCAAAACTGGCTTCAGGAAAGGTGAATACACACTTCTTGTTGCAATATCCAAGATTTGCCCTGGCCCCAACAGGCCTGGCAGTGGAGCTTCCCTCTCTCCTTTTAGACTGGCACAGTCACTCCCTTCCACATGCTGCTACCTTGCTCACCTGTGGATTGAGAATAGGTTACATGAAGCAATAAATCATTTGGGATTTGTGTTTGAAGGACTCCCTGAATGCCACCTGACCCAGCCAACTAAGCACATGAGTACGTTTCTTTCCTGCGTGCATGACATCAATGGAAACAAATGAGGAAAAGCCCCAAGTTTATCAAATTTAATTAATGGTTACCTTTACTTAGCAACTCCTATCAGCTTTTTAAAAATCATTCTAGATAAAAATAATTTTTTTCAAATTAGCAAGCCAGTAACCAATGAATGCTGCTCTTAAAAGATTTGTTAAAAACTCAAGATTCTGGGGCTGGGGATTTAGCTCAGCGGCATAAGCGCCTGCCTTGTAAGCAGGCAGTCGTGAGTTCAGGCCCTGGTACCGATAAAAATGAAAAAGACAAAAAAAAAAAAAAAAAAACTCAAGATTCTATTTATAAATGAAAACTACAAATTGATTTCATCATAAAATGTTTTTCTTACAAAACAAAGCAATAAATGGATTTTGAGGGCTTGTGGTTATGAGGTATGTGTGTATTGGTTTTTATTTCAAACACTGCTGAAATTTAAACACTAAGATATAGCCACATATTTAAATTACTAAGATATTTGGATTTTAAATTTGGCTATTCAAATAGCCAGATGCCAACTGAATTTGCATCAGATTAAAAAAAAACAAGCCAAAAACAAAAATTTGATCTAGTTACTGTCTTTTTCATTCATGTTATGATTCCGGATCAGCATCTGGCAAGGAATCAGACATTACAGTTTACAAACCTTAAGGAAGTTTTTGCATTCTGTGGATTAGAAGAGATATACATTATCATATATACTCCCAACAGCCCACAATGGTAAGAGTTAGATTTGAATTTTTGCTACATCACTGAATTTGACAAATTTCAGAAACCTGTATGTGAAGTTTAAACTTAATTGTCACCTTGATGGATTTGGGAGCCACCCATGGGATTAGGGAAACACACTTCTTGATATGTCTGCATGCATCAGGGAAGCGTGAATTCAAGTACTGTATGATTCCTGGTCCCTTCTTCCCTGGCACTGTTCACTTCTCTGCTTCCCAAAAGCCATAACATACAGCATTTTTGCTCTGCCATACTCTTTCCCCTCCATGACAGAGCTAGTTGCCCATGTACTTTCTGGAAACATGTACCAAAATAAACTACTCAATTTTTGGGTGTCAGATACTGTGTCCCAGCACCTGGAATACTAATACATTATATATACAAAAGTAGTTAAAATCCTATTTCATTAAAAATTATGTATCAACTTATTCTAACCATCTTTTTCAGTTTAGATTACTCTTGTAAAAAGTACACCTATGCCAGTCACTAAATGAGACAGATATATAGAAAGGTTAGCAGATGTAATATTTTACAATCAATACAATAAACTCAGGAAGATGTTCACTACCTTTGCAGTCTTCACTGATTTTTCAATAGCTTAAGCAATTCATCTTGTTTTATTGAGTCTTAAGCTGCCCTTTGTATTTTATAAGCATCTTTCTACTCCTCTGTGTCTGTGTGATAGAGACAGAGAGAGAGAGAGAGACAATATCATAACCAATCCAGCTTGATTCAGAGATACTGTACTGCTTTTGGAGGAGAGGTCTGCAGTACTATTCTTGTAAGTATGTGCACAAATACTGTTAAGGGAGAAGTCTGTAAACAAAAAGTTTAATACCGTAATAAGGAAAAACACTGTTGGAAGTATGTAACATTACCAAAAGTTAAAGGACAGCTTAATCTTTTAAAACTAATGTGTATTAAATAAATATTTAAATGAAATTAAAGGCATCCTGGCACTGAGCTCCTCCTGATCTCACCCATGCACTGCCTGTCCTCCAAGGGCTACCACCAACAGGACCTTATATGGTGGTGCAGAAAGGCCAAAGGAAAGAAATTTCTCATACTGTTATGATAATCTCAGTCATTGCTTCTGCACCTAGTGAACTATATTGATGCAGGATACAGATTAGAGAGCAGAAAGAGCAGCATGGTCATGGTCAAGGATATACCATTTACTGAACCCTGAATCTGTCCAGGACTCTTTGCCTGCAGCAACTTTGCCAACTCTGAGAAAGTAATGTCTAATACCAACTAATCTCTGACACAGGTAAACAGCTTGCTAATTAATTACTCTGTAAATGGCATGGATCCATTCTGTTTCTAATGCCTAGAAAATGTGTGCAAATATCTCTTAAGTTCACAGAATAAATCATTCTCCCCTGCCATTTTGTAAGTGGAAAGGTACATATGATGAAGTAAGAGTTTCAGATTAAGTTCTAAGTTACAGATTAAAGTTAAATAGTTTATGTTTAAAGGTATTGAAAATTTATTTGGGGAATATTGTTGAAAATAAACCAAGTTTTTCAGATGAGTATTTTATCCTTGGACAACAATGTACAAAGATGTACTGAAAGGATTTCCAAATAGAATTACAGGATTTAAATAGGTAGAAGTTCATAGACATAACAATGTCCCTAATCTTTATTACTAAGCTTCATTAAGAATTTATCTTTTTTTTTTTTTTTTTTTTTTTTTTTTTTTTTGTCCTTTTCCTTTTTATCGGTACCGGGGATCGAACTCACGACTGCCTGCTTTCAAGGCAGGCGCTTATGCCGCTGAGCTAAACCCCCAGGCCCATTTGTCATGTTTTTAAAATAATGAACTGAATCTATGTTTAACATCTCAGTACCAATTCACCTGTTTTTAGTATTTGAACTTTGGGGGAGGCGCATGGACAGTGCTGGGGATTGAACACAGGGCTTTATACATGTTATAGGTTATATATTCCTTTGTCTCCCTCAGACCATATAATTTTCCATGTGGCTGAATCTAGCATTTGTGATTGGTTTGTGGTCTAGCACTCAGACTGGTGGTGTTTTACCTGCCCAGAGGTGGGGTCAGGGTAATGGCAGGAAGGTGTGTCTTTCTCTTGTGCTTTCGCTTTTCCTGTTTGCAGCACCCATTAATGGCTGCCCCGCCATGCCACACTGCCCCGGAGCCACCTGACTCTAGACTAAATCCTCCAAAAACTGTAAAAAATAAAATAAAATAAAATAAACCATTTCTTCCCTAACTCTGGGCATCAGCTATTTTGTCTCAACAAAAGTAACTAAGATAAAATTTGGTATCAGAGGAGTGGGGTGTGTGACTATACCTGACCATGTAGTTCAAGAGCCTTTGAAAATGACTCATGAGCAGAGTTTAAAATGGTTCAGAGATGTTACCTAAATGCAGACAGCTGGAACAATTTAGGGTGTTCTGCAAAGAAGATTCTGGTCAGAGATCACAAGACCAAAAGGCAGATAAAAAGCCTGGCAGGAAAGACCAAGCACGGGAGGTTTCTGCTAGAAAAAAAGGACTGATTTGGTTGTTGGGACTCCACACGATGTGTGTTATGGATTGGCAGTAAGTTTGTCTGTATTTTGCTCATGTCCAGAGACTTTGCCAGACACTGAGATTAAGGGCAATGGACTGACTGATCTGGCAAAGAAAATTTCAAGACAATCAAATATCAAGTCAATGGCATGGCTATTGTTAAAGGTCTTTAGCGGTATCTATGTTACAAATCAAGAGCAAAGAGCCCAGCAGGATAATTTAAAATGTGAGTTTGTCCAGAAGAAAAACTCCAGTGAAGCTGTAGACTGTAAAGATAGAGCCAAAACCTTGATTGCTGAGAAGAAACAGAGAAATAAAAACAATAGCCTGGGGCCATCCCAGGAAGCAACAGGTCTTCATCTTTTATAGCCTCAAAATGCCAAAAGTGAAATACCTTGCTCAGAGAAGAAAGCTGCAGAGTGCCACATCCAGAGTAATGACAGAGGCCATGGGTAGTTTTTAAATGGCTGCTAACACACCAGATCCCCAAATGGCAACACAGAAAAGCTTTTCCTCACAATCGGTTTCACAAAGCTCAGCAATCTAGGCACTACAGCCTAGAGATGGAAAAGCCCGGCTACTGCTCCAGCCAGCAGCAAACCTTGGCAACATCCACATGGTGCTGGTTTTAGGTGCAAGGAAAAAAAAATTCTGAGGGTAAGACAGCTTCCATCCCAATTTCAAAAGGCCTGGGAGGCCAAGCAGTGTGCTGAGAGGGCAATATATAAAGACACAAAAGTAAAGCCAAAGGTGCAGTGGAGACCCCAAAAGTTTAAAAAACGCAGGAACATAGATCATATAAGAAAAGCTGCCAAAACCAAGCAGAGAGGCCTTAATAGAAAAAGCTGCAGAAGCTAAAATCCCTGCAAGTGCCATGGGTCTGGAATCACCCAAACCTTTCAGAGCTTGCAACAAGATTGCTTCAGATGCTTCAGGTGCTGGGCATAACACTCCAGGACTTGCTGGATCATACACTTGTTTTGGTTCCAATCCTTGGTCTTCTCATTTGTAACTTTTGGAGCAGTAATGTTTGTGTCTTTGCATTTTAAAGATGTTTCTTGTTTCATTTACACAGGGAGTTATAGTTAAGTTTCCCATAGATCTCAGGGGAGACTTAAGACTTTTTCCAGCAGTGCTAAACCTGTTAAGACTTTGGCAACTCCTGGAGATACGATATAGAGGAGTTTGGGGGGTCAAATATATATTCTTTTGCCCCCCACCCCAGGCCTCAGTGTAATTTTGAATATTTTGTTTGTTGTCTTTTTTTTTTTTTTGTCTTTTTCCTTTTTATCAGTACCGGGGATCAAACTCACGACTGCCTGCTTGCAAGGCAGGCACTTATGCCACTGAGCTAAATCCCCCCTCAGTGTAATTTTGGATGCAGCTGAATCTAGTGTTTGTGATTGGTTCATTGTCTAGCACTGATTGGTGATGTATTTCACCTGCCCAAGGATGAAGCCAGGATAACAGCAGGAAGAAGGTGTGTCTCTTTTGCTTTTGCTGTTTGCAGCAGCCATGAATGGCTGCCCCACCATTCCACATTCAGGAGCCAACTGAGTATAGACTAAATCCTTCAAAAACTGTAAAAAATAAAAATAAAATAAACCATTCCTTCCCTAACTTTGGGCATCAGGTATTTTGTCTCAACAATGAGTAAAAAGACAGCATGTTAGATCAATATTCTATTACTGATACATACCATCAGCCCATTAGTATCTCAACATTCACCTTCAGTCATCTGACCAGTTATACATGAAATATTATGAAGCCCCAAAACTGATTATATAAATAGCAAAGATATGCAGAGAAATTATGAGATTTAGATTGACAGCTGTGTGCTCTACTCACTTCTATTTATTTACTTACTTACTTAGCAGTGCTAGGGACCAAATCCAAGACTTTGTGCATGCTAAGCTAATGCTCTACAACTGAGCCATACACCAAACCCTTTACTTCTAAATTAACAGCTTATCAGACAAGGATGATCATCACCATCACCCCATGAACAAAACTGGAACATCAGCAGTAAACAGTGGCCTGGAAATGATCCAATGGAACTGCAATTTGGAATTCTGGTGTGACAGCACTTTCTAACATGTAAAATAAACACAGCCATAGTACTAGCCTCACAACCAAGATAACCAAAAACCCTCACTGCCTTTCCACCCATCTGCCTACCAGGCCTTCACTAAGAAACCCGCGTCTAGTACTGGAGTGGGGAAAACAGCGGAAGCTGACCCGTGGATTCCTGGATGCACGTCGAAAGGCCTCATGGTTTCCCTGTGATGTGATTTGTCTCATGACACATACTTGACTTACCTGATAGTGTATTAAGAGCTATACCAAACTGCCTTTTAAAACAATCAAATTTTATATTCCTTGGGTAATGCCTAATTTCTTTAAAATAACCTCTTAGGAAGTTAACACTGTTTTCAGAAATCAGGAGCCACAAGGTGACAGTAGTAGCAGCAAACAGTGCATGACACACACTCCTTGCTCTGGAAACAAAGACCATGTTCCCCCATTAGCCTCCAACCTAGCTCAGCAGGGCTGCTCTCCCAGGCACTTACAGATCATGAGAGGGAGACACATTAATAAATGAGCTGGCAGTGTGGATTTTGTTGTTGCCGTTTATTTTCAGTTCTGTTATCTTCATCACTTCCAGATAATGTGCAGTTTTCTCAGTCAAACCCTTTCAGTTTTCAACAAGCTGCTTAGACAGAGGCTAGAGATGTAAAGTGAGGCAGCTCACATGTAAGTTCTTGCAGCTCCACCTTTCAAGGTAGACATTATATACGTACAGAGATTAAAGAATCTACATATCATTAAAGCCTTATTGCTGTTTAAATTTTTTCTTTCTAGAAATAATAAATTACTTATCATTGTATTAAACTTTCCAAATTATGGGTTGTAAACTACAGAAAACACATTTTTTGAACACAGTAATTCATGGCAACTCAATATGAATTTGTATTTGAAAGTATGTAGACATGAAGGCTGAGGATTTAGCTCAGCGGCATAAGCGCCTGCCTTGGAAGCGGGCAGTTGTGAGTTCAATACCCGGTACCGATAAAAACGAAAAAAAAAAAAAAAAAAATACAGAAAAAGGTATGTAGACATGTATACATGTCATGTATACATGACTGCTGAAGTTTGGCTTATAATTTAAGATTTTAAATTCTTGTTGAAACGCTTCCCTTCTGAAAAGATTACATTTTCTCTTTAAAAAAAAAAAACAAAACAAAACAGCTAGGCATGGTGGCGCATGTGTATAATCCCAGTACCCACGTTGAGGTAGGAGGATCACCAAGAGTTCAAGGGCAGCCTGGAATACATAATGAAATCCTAGGGGCTGGGGATTTAGCTCAGCGGCATAAGCACCTGCCTTGCAAGCAGGCGGTCGTGAGTTCCACTCCCCGGTACCAATAAAAAGAGAGAAAGAAAAAAAAAAGTAAAAAAAGAAATGTGGGAGCTATAGAGGCTATAAAAAACTAGCCTTCACTACTGAATATTAAAAGTGTAGAATATCAGATTTTTCATTATATACAGGAAATATGAGAATTTACTTCAGAGAACTGTAATGACCCTAAGTGAGGGGACTGGGGTCTAGGAGAACTATCTCATAAAACTTTAATGCCAGTAATCTCTGTTCACGCTATGGTCTGAGGCTGAGACATTAGAAGGAGTATCTTTCAAAGCAGGAAGGTTCATTTGCGTGAATGACTGGTGCAATGATAGATACAGTATTTGGTGTTTATTGTTAACCTGGCCACACTGTGGGCTTACAGGCTCGTTTTTATTTTAACCCATTTTATGAGATAGTTCTCCTAGACCCCGATCCCTTCACTTAGGGTCATTTCAGTTCTCTGAAGTAAATTCTCATTTTTCCTGTGTGTAATGAAAAATCTGATAGTATCCTAGACTTTAATGTTTTTAAAACCTTTTGAGTCATTCATTTATTTTTTTTACTCAGTTCACATATCACGAATTAAGAACATCTAGACTTAGGATCTGCCTTTTAATTTCTGGCCACCATACTAAGTGATCTGTATGTTCTTGTAATACAGTGACTATGTACATGAAAATATGCCCCCACCTTTCAATTTAGATCTTTCTGAATTGGTGTTGATAAAAGTTTTAATATTAAAGATGCAGTTGATATTAAAGATGGAGAAATAATTAAGATGAATCTGGATTTAGTATCTGCATAACAAAAAACCTAAACTGCAGAGGCCAAAGTTAGCAGGCATGCCACCAAGTAACTGTAGAATGAGGAGCACCAAAGACTGATACTGACCTCACCCGGAAAAAGGGCTACTTTTAGAAAATCAGAACTATGGCGACCAACAAGATAAAAAAAGTTCAGCTTCAGTTTTGAAAGTTAAAAACACTTCTAGCAGTACTTCATAGATGGCAATGACTCCTTAGATAATAAGGTTTAGCAGGGACTGAGGCATGGGGGCGGGGGGAGGGTTAGTACATATCCAAATAGCAAAGATACGGGCATCTCGTTCCAGGTCTACCCGGACCTTCTCTCCTTTCATTCATTCATTATTACTCACTACAGAGTTTATTACCCAACATCTTTCAAATACTATCTGGCATATAGTAAGTACTCTAGCCATCACCTTCTTGTATTATCGTTGATGTTATCAGAAAAGAATGATTACCATCATCTAGACCTCTGGTCAGGAGGCCCTGGCACACCATGATACACAAAATGAAGATTTTAAAATTCTACAGTGTGGTATCACTGTGAAGTGACCTGTCATCCTGGGTAAGTAAAATGAAACTTCAGTGGGATGATGAAGTTATCCCTGTTTGCCTGGGATGGTCCAGTTTTATCACTCCAAATCCAGAGAGATCCTTCTACTCCTGAGCAAACTAGAACAGCTGGCCACTCTACCTGTAAGGGACATGTATCGCAGTAATATCTGCACAGTAGGATTACAGTGCACTTAAAAGAATACAGGTGTAATAATAACACGTAGTATCCATTAGGCAGATGAAGCCCACATTTGCCAACCTCATGAGTGTTCTACCATGGGCAAGTTACTTAACCTCACATCACCATTTCCTGACGGATAAAATGGGAGGCCTTCCATTTTATAGCACTGGATGTTAAAGAGATAGAATGGAACAGAGTAACCAAGGATAGAAATAACTATTATCCAGCCCACTTCCTAGCAAATATTAAGTGGTTAATGTTTATAAACCACTAATCTGAGCTTTTTTCCATTTTCAATAATAAATTCACATATTTACACTGACAGAAACACCTAGATATTCTAAGCTCAGCTCTTATCAAATTTTGATATCACTAAAAATTATTTAATAACCAGCAACATTAGAACATTTGACATCAAGGTGTACAACAGAAATACAATGAGAAATCAGAATGCCTATGTAGCAATAGTTCTCCTCAGTGTTTTCTTCCTCTCCAGGGACCACTTGGAAGTGGTATTTTCAGTGGTGACTCAGAGAGGGTATAGTACACTACTAGCCTCTGGCAGGTGAAGGCCAGGAATACAGTGATTAGGATAGTCACCACAAAAAACTATCTGGCTCAAGACCTCAGAAGTGTGCCTAATATGCATGACAAAGAGCAGGCACAGATTAAACCCTAATGGGCAGTAGACTGCCCACTGCCAGCACCTGCAAACTTGGTCTCCTCCACACTGGTACTGAGTAGTCACACTAACAGCAAACTTCACACCAGTTGTATACCTTTTTGGTATTTTGAGGACTTTTAATTGTAGAAACATCTCTAGTCACACTATGGTCTGAGGCTGAAAACAACCTGACTGTGGTGTTTAGAGATGAGACCTTCTGGGAGGTGATTAGGATTACAGTTATGAAAGCAAACTTGTTGACTTAATCCTATTGGCTTTACTGGGAGACCAGGACAGACAGACAGACAAACAGACAAACAGACACACACACACACACACACACACACACACACACCTGTCTCACCATGAAATGCCATGCACTACCTCAGGACTCTGCCAGCAAAAAAGCTATCACCAGATTGAGTCCTTAGGCCTGGACCTCCAAAACCATGAACCAAAACAATCCTGTCTGCTTTTTATAGTAACAACAACAAAGTCTAATACAAGCCATGTGTATTTTGTGACTCTGGTAATTAAACAGCCCTTTAAAGTTTATTTTCACAACATGACAAGTAAACCCCCCCCACACACACACACACATTCCTTTTATTGGTGTTACTGAGGACAAAACCCAGGATGAACTATATCCTTCACAATGAACTATATCCACAGATTTTGTATTTTTTATTTTCACATAGGGTCTCCTTAAGTAGTTAAGTGCCCCAAGCGGAGCTTGAACTTGCAATCCTCCCACCTACACTTTCCAGAAGGCATGCATCAACATTCCTGGCATGTAACTAAAACTCTTTAGAGAATAAATGTGGTACATGTCTCATAAGTCATATTAAGTCATCTTTTTTGAGACTGTGTCTTGCTATGTTGCCCATCTTGGATTCAAGTGATCTTCCTTTCTAGCCTTCCATGTAGCTGAGAAGGTATACACTACACACATGGCTCCTGGTAATGCTTAAATATTAAAAGAAATAAACAATTCTGTTTGTAGTAGTGTAACAAATTTTAATTCAAAATAGACAATCTGAAAATAATAGGTTAAAAAAAAATAAAGTCCAACAAGCTTCTCTCTGATTTAAGAGTACACCAACAGTCACAGACCAGTTTCACGACAGCCTCAAAAATGCACATTACAACAATTACATGCAAGCAATACATTTTTTTAAAGTCCACATAGCAACACTGAACTATTTCCCAGAGGCTGTCACATGCTCCAGATACTTGTACCTGAAAACATGTTGGACAGGCTCCTCCACTGCATTATCACCAGCCGTATAACTCAGGATCCAAACTGGCGATCTGCATTACTGATTCTGGTGCTTTATTTTATATTGTGTGGAAAAAATGAGGCCTGACATCCAGAGAACAGTGATATAACAGATTCTTCAGCAATCAGATGTCCCATTCACATGGACAACTAATTGAGCCAATGGAAACCCATTTCCCAGTTCTACCCCTGGCAATCCCAACCATGAAGCCTGAATTGTTGGTCCACTTACTTACTTCACCTTATGACTGAAACCACATACATGGGTAGAAATTTTATCCCTGAGTGTCATGGCCCCTTCCATTCATTAGTTTATAGCAGTTCAGGCTAGGAGAAGAGTTCCGGATATGTTTTCTCAAAGTTTATTCTAAAGGCACTAAAGATTCACTACCTTACCTTTGAATGGAGAAATCACTCATCACTGTATGAAAAGGGAAAGTATGATGGAAACTATTTCTGCTCCTGTAATGACTTTATTGATAAAATAACATACGATTATGAGCTACACACCAGACCTCTGACTCAAGGTATTTTTAATAAATGAGAACATTTGGTTTTCTATGAGTTAAGATTAAAAAAATATATATATCAGGACAAAACTGAAAGGATGTAAACCAAAATTATAATTTCATAAGCAAGCAGCTTACAAACAACAATCAGCAAGAGTTAATGCAGTGTGTCCTTCGGGAATCATACACATCATAGGGCTGCACTTGTATCTCTAAACATGTTTGTGTCATTAGCTACTACCTGTAAAGCTGAGGAAAAGCAGTACTTTAATTTTCAACTAATCAAGTATTTTCAAACAAGCTGAAATTTCCTAAAATTAAAAAAACAAGTATTTGTAATTTTAGCTTTTTTCTCATTTGATACTGACACTACTGAGAAAACAAGGCGTGCATGGAATACCAAGAGATATAATTTACATGGCAAAGGGGGAATAACTGTTACAAATCAAACTGCAGGAAACAATAAATCTGAAGAACTATTCATTTCCTTAACAGAAGTCTTTCTGAGCACCTGAAATACCTGAAGAGCAGCATAAAGACACTGACACTGACAACTCAACACAAGGGAGAACATGTTTAAAACCTCAGTTGAAAACCACTGCCTAGCATTACAGTCTCACAAGTTTTGTGATTCATACTCAAAGTTCAATCTGTGTTTAACATTTTTAAGTTCAGACATATCAAATCCTAGAAGTACAGAGGGCTTGTGGTTCTTTATTGCTTTCATGCAAATATATCTTCTTTTTCCAAAAAATGAAGCCACATCAATTTTCCAGACCCATAGGAGTGAAGACAGCAGTTCTATTTCTTTTCTACTAGGATACGGTCTCTTATGGAAATAATCTCTAAGAAACTGCTTTTTATCTTCGTATGAACGGCCTTCGTATTTTTTAGGATCCAATACTAAAATCTGGAGTGCATCATCATTAGCCACCAGTCCCTCTGTCCTACTTTCATTCCTTTGTCTCTTCAAAGGCACAGAACTTGTCCCTTTCTCCAGACCTGGAGCTGCCTCAACATTTATGAAAAGCTGTGATTCCTCCCCACCCCTCTGCTCTTCTATCCCCAAATGGCCATCAGGCAGCTTTCTCTTTATAGGAAAAGTAGAATCAGGAATCACTTCCCCATTGACCAATACCAAATCACTGCTCTCAATAAAGCCTGGCTGGATTTGCAGATCTGAGCTACTGTCCTTGGGAGCACTTCTGCAACGCAGCAAGTGAACAGCAATGGCCGCCAGGGTCATGTTTCCAGTGTAGACCCCACAGCAGTGGATGCACTTGAAGGCCGGAGACCTGAGCGTTGTGTGGACTGTTGGCATGACATGGTGCCTCTCCTTCAGGTGCAGCTCATAAGCATCAGCTGTCAGAAAGGTGCCAAAACAGAAGGGGCAGGTCAGCTTCTGTTTGCCGGGATTGTTCGGCATGCTTTCTGGCTGAGGCCGCACCTTAATGTACACAGGCACCAGTGACTTGGAGTGGATCCCAGCAAGGATGGCCAGGTAGACCTCCCGGTCCCCAAGCTTCTCCCTTGGTAGTAGAGTGATAAAATCAAGATGGGGAAACAGCAGGTTACCATTAGCATCAAGGTCCAATTGGAAACCCCTGTTACTATAATCCATAGGCAGCCTTTTCTTCCCAAGGTGCTTAGCCCTGCTATGCTCCAAGAGACCCCGAATGTCATGGAAAGTACATGGGCAGAATAAGCACCCCAAGCCATGCATGAGCAAGTGGTGCATCAGCTCCTCCTCCGACACCAAACACTTACAGGAGAGGCAACGAACAGTTTTTTCCCTCATCCACTTCAGAAAGGGTGCACAGGCTGCCAGCTTTTCAGGTTCTAATTTCTCACTGGACTGGGATTCACTGTGCTTGTGGGCCACTTCCATGTGAACCTCGTAGACATTGGAGGGGAACAGTTCATTGCAAACCCGGCAGAGCTTGGACTCACTATTCTTGTGAGCCACTTCCATATGAACCTGGTAGACGTTAGATGGAAAGAGTTCATTGCAAACCCGGCAGGTTTTCCACTGTTTGGCCTGTTTGAGCACCTGATTTGTGTCCACCACAGGTGAGGTAGCCTGAACAAACACACTCTGGGCAGCACTCACTAGCACCTGTGGTGAGGGCAGGCTGGTCAGGGAGCTAGTCATCTGCCCACCTGCCCCTGATGGTAGGAGCTGGACAGGCACCTGGGGTGGAGTGACAGTTGCAATGCCGCCACCAGGGGGTACAGGCAAGGTCACAGACACAGGAGCCAGTGTGTAGGTGGGGATACCATTAACCTGTTTCCCAGTGGGGATGAGTTGCCTGAGAATAGAGCCCGATGTGAGGAAGGTGGTGTTCTGCGATGTTCCTGCTCTTACTGGCTGACTCACAGGTAGGATGCTGGTGCTGACAGACTGACTGAGCTGCAGCACACCAGGCCTCACTGGTGGGCCCACAGGAAGAACTCCTGATGCAACAGGCTGGCTGAGTTGCAGAACACCAGAATTCACACCCTGGTTCACAGGGACAACACCTGAGGGTACTGTCTGGTTAGGAGAGAGCAGCCCAGATGGGACCATCTGGCTTGCAGGGAGAACTCTTAGGGGAACTGTCTGGCCAGGTGGGAAAACCCGAGAGGGGGCTGTCTGACCAACAGGGAGAACTCCTGATTGGACTACCTGGCCAGTTGGGAGAACACCAGAAGTTGCTGTCTGTCCAGGAATAACCCCTGTGGGAGTCATCTGGCCTGCAGGAAGGACCCCTGATGGGGCTGCACGACCCACAGAAATCACACCTGGTGAGACAGCCTGCAGAACCCCAGGGGTGACAGAGGGACTGGTAGGCAGGACACTCGGCCTAACAGGTCGGCTTACAGGTCCCCCAGGTTGGGTGAGGGGTAACACTCCAGGCCGGATAGCTTGATTCATGGGAAGGACACTTGTTCCAACAGACTTATTTATAGACCCAGTAGGCTGATTCAGGGGCAGCACAGGATTCACAGGCTGATTAAGTGGGAGCCTGTGAGAAAGAAACACAGACTGAGGAGCCGAGGGCTGCAAGGTGAGGCTGCTCTGGCATACAGGCAAAGGACTGGAGACTAGAGCCACATGGGACTGGGCAACAGCAGGCGAGGAATGGGTGAGGGTCCCAGAGGTGCCTGGGGCCACTGTCACTGGCTGTACCACCGTTGAGCTCTGATTGTTCTGCGGCAAAGTGAGATGAAAGCAAGGAGGTGCTGCAATGCCTGCAGCACTGGTGTGTGGAGGTATGGCCAATCGGGCCACTGGTTTTGGAGCAATATGCATTTGCTTCAAAAGTCCGGTTCTCTTAATGTGTTCTGAAATCACAGATCTAAGCTTATTCTCCAAGTCTCTGTGTATTTCTGATGTCAAGATATGATACATTAGAGCATCCTGGCTGCTGGCATTGGCGTTGCATTTTTTACAGTAATATCTGTCAGATGTGGCCATCTTGTCCACAGAAAGCACATTTGCTTTTGGTTGCTCTTCCACTTCCTCAGTTCGCAGACCAAAATAAGAGTTAATTAAGTAGTGAAAATGAGCTACCAGCACATGCTTCTTCATGCTATAGTACAAAGTATTTGAAAAGTTACATTTTAAACATGTGAAACTTATCACATCGCTCCTAGAAGATTTAGTCTCACCTAAAATATTCACTGTGTAGTTCTGGACTTTCCGAACAGGAGCATGGAACATTCTGAAGTGTTTTCCCACCACCTTGGGCTGCGAAGCAAATGCACAGTTGGGACAAGGGATCACCAGCTCCTGGTCAGCATCATCTTCATGGTAACGATGTAAATGATTTTTGAGTGAAGTAAGCACTTTTGTTGAGTATTTGCAGAGACTACAACAGTATGGCTTTGTTCGGTATCTCTGTCAAAAGAAAAGCAAATTTTAAAGGAAGAAAGTTGCCAAGGCACCTTCCTATGACAATGCATGCCACACTCTTCCATCCTCTCATATGCTATACTCTTTTGACACTATCAACTTCTGAAAAGCAGTGTTTTTCCAAGGGCTTGGAGGCTTTTTTCCATGAAGCAACAAACAATGACACTTTAAGACTGGTGGACTTTGCATGCAATCTCTGCAGCAACTAACTACCCAGCTTCTGCACTGCCACCATGATGAGTATACAAGGACCCATGAACAACAGTGTCTGGGCACAGCTATGGGCCAATGAAACTATTTATGAATGTTAAACTCCAACATCACACAATTTTTACATGTCACAAAAAGTATTCCTTGTCTCTATTTAAATATTCAAATACCTATCAACTGTTCTTAGCTTAAAGGCCATAAAAACATAAAATCTGACTCAAAACTCAGTTTGCTGACTCAGTCTAAGCTATATTTTAAAACATAAATCTTACCACTTAGCCCTATAGTTTGAATTAACTGCATCAACTGAAATAAAATTTATATATTAATTTTCTACAAGAGAAAGTTATCCCCACACACACATTCACTCATTCTTCTCTCATTTTCTCAGTACAAAAGTCATTTTTAACTCAAATTTTAGAACTTTGAGAATTTATCTACAACTGATCTGGCTTTCAAATTATTAAAGACTCTTCATTACTGTTTTTTAACTCCCCTATTACTAGAAACAGAAAGAGTCAAACAAATGGTACTCAGGGCGTGCAGGTGCCCAATAAACTGATAAACAGTAATTTAAAAAAATACTGTGGAAAGTCCTTAAATAAGAAGAGGTCCATAGATGTATCACTGACCATATGGAATTATTATGAATGCACATTAGGGAGCATTCAACAAGCTCATGGCCTAAGAACAGATACTAACACAACAGCCTACCAACTCAGAGTATATCTGTTCAATCAGTGAAGCCCGCTGTTTGGCTATTTGGGATGACTGGAGGGCACATGGATATATCTAGTGTCATGAATCTGGAGCAGGTGAACCATAAAACACCTACTCTCATTCCACAAACGAGGACATCAAGACCTGCACAGAGTAAATACTTTACTGGATGCCTGCAGTGGGCTGTGGCACCCAGCAACCTATGGCTGATTTCAATACTCTTTAAAGTTGGAGATACTCTCAAAACCACACATACAGATACCCACTCTTCAAGGTGTGACCACCCTCTCGTACTCATGCAGATTTTTCCTCTTGAGCTTGGACAAGAAGTTTCCCACACATTTAGCATTGTTTTATCATTTTCTCAGGAATGACCAAAATCCTGACTCTAGACCTCAGACAGTGGTCACCACCACATACACTACCCCTTCCTCTCCCTAAGAGAACTCATTTCAATAATTCTAAGAGACATACTTTTTCATATTTTAACATCTCCAAAGTGCAGGTGTATTTTAAAACTAATACAATGCTGTTTAAGTATCACTATAGTTTTATTAATGAGTCATTAAAAATAGCTACCTTCAACTCAAATACAGTATCAAAACCCATATATACAATAAAAATGACACTCAGAAGAACAAGTGGAAATTGATAAGTGCATGTTAATTATCTGGTAGTATCAAATCAATGTCTGGGGGAGGCAAAGTTTCTAAAATATGACACCACAGGCATGATGTACAAAAGTAAAGATAATTAACTGGACTTCGTGGAGGAAAAAAAAATGTCTGCTCCTTGGAAAAAGTACTAAAAGCTGGGGGAAAAAGTCACAGGCTGAGGTGACATTTGCACACCACCAGAGAATGGTGCCTGGAAACACATTTGGACAAGCTCAAATCTCAATAGAAAAATAAATGGCCCAACTTTTTCTTTTTTTAAATGGCAAAAGATTTAAGCACTTTAGTGATCTGGATGCTAAACAGACACATGAAAAGCAGCTCAACATCTTTAATTACTAGCAATATGAAAACTAAACCAAAACAATGCTACACATATACGAAAATGGGAAACTGACAGATAAGCCATAGATAAACACAATGATGGTAGGAGAGCAAAATGGTACAGCCACTTCAGGAAATCTTACATGAAAAGGATGTAAGACTAGGGATATAACTCAGGACTACAGCACTTGCCCAGCATGTGCAACACCCTGGGAGTTTAATCCCCAGTACCAGAAAAGAAGCTATTAGTATATACTATATATATATGTAATCCTGGAAGACATTTTCGGAATTCTGATGAGAAAAATCAAAAGAGGCCTGAGATTCATGACATCAAAGATCTTCAAAATGAGGAATACAAGCAATCCTTGTTTGAAGCAGAGTTCCATTCCTGCAAGTAGGTCATTAAATGAATTTGGTCACTAGATGAGGAATTATATATATATATTTAGATGGATAGATAGATAGTACATACATTACAATATTTAAAACAAAGAAATGGTCAAAGGAAACTCCAACTTGATTTCACTTTTATTTGCATAACTCTTACATGTAGTAATATAATGTATAAGATAAAACTGTATTGGATAGTACAATTAGCAAAAATTAAAGTACTGTACAACAAAAAAGACACTGATAAGCAAGATGTACAAAACTGTATTTAAAAAGCCAACATTTTAGTCACGAGTCCATCAAACATTATCACCACCACCAATGTTATCATCAGAACTATGATCAGGAAATGTAAAATGCTCAAGTAACAGAGGTGAGGAAGTAGAAATGGAAGAACTAGCAATAGTTCTGAGCGAAGCTTCAAAAAAATCCCACTGGGCACAGTGGTTCAGGCCTGTAACCCCAGCACTGGGGAGGCTGAGGCAAGAGGATTACTACTCTAAGTTCAAGGCCAGCCTGTGCTATATAGTGAGCTCAAGGTCAACCTGAACCACGTAGCAAAACCCTATCTCAAATAACAAAAGAAGAATCCCATTATTGTGGCCTGTTTTTTCATTTTCTTTTTTGCTTCATAAACTTCATGAAAGCATTGTGAGAGTTTACTCTCTGCCATCTCACTTTTGTGAACTGTTCAACATCTCCAGTTTTAAGACAACTGCATTCACTTTTAGAACACATCCACTAATCTCTTCGCAGTGTACTTCTTTAGTACTTCTTCAAGTCTTTCCTCTTCTTCCTCCCACTCACCTAAGTCCTGCTGAGCTTCCAACTATTAAATCTTCCATATTTAGCTCTCCTTCAGTGTATTTCCCTGATTCTTCAATATCTTACACTTCCGCCTCCAAATTAACCATGTTAGCAAGTTCCACAGTTGTTTCATTTATGACACTGACATGCTCATCTTTGTCAAATGCTTTTAATTCATGCACAAAATGTTTTGGGCATTTTTTTTCCCCATATCCCTTGCTTACAGTTTTCGGTCATTCCTTTCTCAAGATGATTCAGTGTTCTTAATGTAGTCTAAAATGGTGTAGGATTTCCAGAAATCACTAAAGATTACTTAATTGTTTTCTGTTATTGCTACAACTCTGCAACAATTTGTGCACAAATAGTATGTTCTGAAGATAGCTATAGCCCCCTCATTCATGGACTGTAAGACAGCAGTTGTTTTTCTAGGCAGATACACTAGCTTTGTATGTGGGTGTACTATGATCATCAAGATGGTTGGAGTGGCTGTTGGAGGCCACTATGAAGTGGCTCTGAGCAGGATTTAAAATTAACTAATAGGCTTTTTATGTTTATCTGTGAGTCTGTCTTAGACCTTAGTCCCTTTTCTAGTGACAGGAGCTGATTTATAGTAAGTGAACCTCTATGAGTCACTGATCTTGGCTGAGGCCTATAGTGGCCTGTGAGGCCAGAGATACCTCAAAGGACAAGATAAGGCCACAACTATGAACATTTGGCTTAAACATCAATTAAGTAGACTATAGGTATAAAAATTATTTTTGTTTCACTTTTATCATGTCTTTATAAGACAGTTTTATTAAACCGACTTATTACTTAAGAGACATCCTTAAAGTGACTCCCAAGGTCCTGCTCATTGCCTACACTTTCCTCAGTTTCCCCACCCTTTGTTATTGGACCTAATAAAAGTGGGTGGTCAAGAAAAGTCTCTATCTTAACCCTCAGAGTCTCAAGCTCAGCTAGAGGGTTTTGACCCTCTTGGAGCCCTAAAATCATACCACTTGTCTCATTTTATTTAAGCCTCCACCATACACTCACTTGGGAGATCAGGGATCTGGGTCAAAACCCAGTATGTGGCCTGGAGCATTATCATACAGGAGGATAATTTAAAGAGAATGCTATTTTCCAGACAGTAAAACTCACTGAAGGTATAAGGCAATTAATGAACCAATCTTCAAATAAAGCTAGCCTTGTTACTTGCTCAATAGTAAGCAGACAGTATGTGCTTTCTAACCTGCACAAATAGTATGTATATATGGATTCTCAGTGATAAAGCTTCAACTGGATCCCAACATGACTATCCTTGAAAGCCTTGAGCCTGGGCACTGTTTTAGCTTCTTTGAATATATGCAAGACCTGGGCTGGAGATTTAGCTCAGTGGCATAAGTGCCTGCCTTGCAGGCAGGCAGTCGCGAGTTCGATCCCCGGTACCGATAAAAAAGGAAAAAGACCAAAAAAAAATATATATATATGCAAGACCTTTCGGGCATTTTCTTCCAAAAAAGTCCAATTTCATCCATATTAAAGATTTGTTCTGGATAGGAGATGTCTTTCTCTACAATTTTATCAAATTAGAATGTTTTCCTGCTGCTTCTACATCTGCACTTACCACCCCACCACTAACACTCCAATTATGCAGGTTGAATCTCTCACAGAACCACTGAAATTATCCATTGCTGTAAAAGTTTCCATCAATTCTTTACCTTTGCAAGGCTTCAAAACTTAAAAACACTGACTGCCTTGGCTTTAATTACTGAAAAACTCACTGGCATCCTTTTTTGTATCAGTCATCAAACCAGATAACCAATAATTTTTCCATACCATGAATGAGGCCTTTCTGCTGCATAATTATTATGCAGCATAGTTTAAAACCTGTTGATGTTTTCACTGCCTCTTTCATTCTGTCTTTATCCTCTAGGATTGCCAAAATGGTAGCATGTACCAAATTCAAGTACTGTGCTATTGCTTTTAATATTTTTACCAGCTTTATAATTAATTATAATCTTCATTTTCATGTCAATATCAATTTCCTTTGTTTCTTGCTACTTTATCCTAATAAACTCATGTTTTTCCATTTGATGACATCTCATATGAAAGAGTACACAATAAAGTACAATACAGAATAAGGTACCCAGACCTCACAACACTACTGTTCAAGAAAAAGAAGTACTGTACATTGTAACACTACAAGTAACACCTAGGTTGGACATCAGAAAAAACATACTGTATGGTAGTGTTGCAAATATACAGTGCTATCCATAGAGTACTGTAGGCAGTATAATCACTAAGAAATCTATGGAGATTCTGACATAGAATCAAACACTGATATTCCTGATTTTAATGACCTGTCAGGTTAATGACTATTCAACTTACAACCTAACATTCACTTATGACCCATTATGTTTTGGTACGTTCTGTACATTTTATTAATAGAGCTTCAATGTCTTTTTTTGTGCAGTACATTTACTTATACAGTACTCTTAATTTTTGCTGATTGTACTGTATAATACATTAATGCAGTTTTATGTTGTTATAATACTTGTAACAATTCTGTAAATAAAAACAAAATCATCATTTCCTTTGACCATTTGTTTTGAATATTGTAATGTACACAGTATACATAATTCCTCATTTAGCAAACAATTCATTTAACAACCTAGTTGCAGGATAATAACTTAAGTCATCAAATGAGGAATTTTTGACAAAGAAGTAAAAAAGCTACCATACAGTCACACTGTCCTTCATGTTCCTGCATAAGTCTGAACCAGGTCATAAATCTGAACAGTGTGCATCAGTCCAAACAGTTATTAAAGAGGTTAAGTCATTAAATGGGGAATATCTGTACTTACCCAGTATGGAGACTGAATCCAGAGCCTTCATACTGAGCTAAATCCTGAGTCCTTTTTTAATTTTTTATTTTGAGACAGGGTCTTGCTAAATTGTTGAATTTTGAGTCCTCCTGCTTCAGGCTCATAGAGTGCTGGGATTAGAGGCTTATGCCACCATGCCCAGTGGCATTATCTTTTACTGACATCAGTTATTATCAAAAGTTCAGTGGCTTTTTATAATGAAAGAGATACAATAGTTCCACTGTATCATTAAACCAATTATATATGCAGAAAACTCTGAAAGCCTTATTAATCCTGGATGATTAAACTCCTCTCTTACCTCCCTGGTTACTTTATGCCTCCTCTTACACATTCACCATCAATCACTATGATTGATGTTCCTTATCCCCAATGAAAAACCAAATACAAAAATACGTACCACTTTCTTTCCAGAAGGTTCCCAGAGAGAAACATCTCCCCATGATGTATTATAAAAGTACTTCTCTCCTGGATCAAAGCCTTTAAGCTCCTTTTAAAAACAGAGAGGAAAAATCAGTATACAAATGCAAATAACAGATATTTATTAGAACCTAATGAAACTGACACCTAAAAATTCTACATGGACAAAGATGAAGGTAAAAACATTTGGCAATTTTTGACAGAGTACTGGCTAAAGTGTAAGAGCTGGGTAAAAGCTGAAATAACCTAAGCTAAAATTATAGCTTCATAACAAATAAATCAGGTGAGACCTCAAACAAGGAATTGCCTAAATTTTTGTATATGTAAAATAAGCCTAAATATAGGTAATGATTCTAAAAACTCATGTAGCTGTGTGACACAAAGTAAAACAGCAAAGTACCTCAAAATAAAAGAAATTTTGAAGTCATGTGGTGGCACATGCCCGTAACTCCAGTACCTGGGAGGCTGAGGCAGGACTGCCACAAGTTTGAGCTACATATTGGTAGCTGACTTCACAGTGGTAGTCTGGACTACATAGTGAGCTCAAGACCAGCCTCTCTAAAAAGAAAAAACTTTTTTATTCTAAATGCCTTTTGAAAACTGTACCATATGCAGTCCATTTGTCTTAAAAAATGAAAGTATATTTTTATCTTACACTGAATCTTTCACAGCAGGTTCAACCAAGATCTAGAACATGCTCAGAAGGAACAATCATTTTTCACTCAAAAGGTTACTTCCTCCAGCAAGAAAATACAGAAAGCATTGTGCTGACCACAGCAGCTCATGCTCATAATCCCAGCTAGCTGGGAGGCTGAGGCAGAAGGATCACAAGTTTGAAGCCAGCCTGGGCAAGACCCTGTCTCAAAATTTAAAATTTTATACGACAGCTGGAAATGTACTTCAGTAGCAGAGAACATGTGTAGCATGAATGAGGCCCAGGGTTCAATCCTTCATACAGCCAGGGGGAAAAAAAGGAAGAGGTGAAGGGGAAAATGAGGGTCTGTAAAAAAAATTTTTTTAAATGAGCTGAAAGAGGCTATATGGGAAATACTACAAAAGGACCCTCCAAGGAACAGGGCAGAATGATGTAGACAGGAAAGAGGCACATGAACTTCTCAGAAGACTGGAAAAGTGAGGAAGGAGGGAGCAGACTCCCAGCTATCTGCAGTTGACAGGGTACCACTGATGGAAGGGGTAGAAGAGATGGAGGAACACAAAATACTCTTCACCTTTCTGTCATCAACACTAACTGAAGCCTCAAATGCTCACTGCTGGACTCTGGGGACCCAACCTCAGTGCGACAGATTCCAACCTCAGTTTCACAATTAAGACTGACAGATAACTTAGGGAGAAAATATTCACAAGCAAATACCATCTTTCACTGCTAGTAATTGCTCTGAAAAGGTACTTTAGGAAGTGGAGGAACAGAAAGTGTGGAACTGGAACCCACCTGAGACTGGGTGGCCACTGAAACAGGGAAAGAGGGGAAGAGGAAAAGAGAGCAGGTACAGCAGAGATTCCATGAAAGCCCGGAGCAGAACACAGCAATGCCACAGAGTTTCCAATGAAAGTGCTTCAAAGAGTGAAGAGCAGTCCCTGAGAGGTTATGTGGGAACCAAGTTACATCTCTCTAAAAATAACACTTTGAAGTTTTATTTTTCTGAGTTGGGGGAAAAAATCTGCTTTGCCCACTACAGGTCCCAACATGTATGGAAAGCATAGTTACAAAGCTTTTTATTTTTATGACATACTTCAAATAACACTGCAAATTATGTCAAGAAATGAGCAAAATGAGAGGACAAGTCATAATCTTAAGGTACACACAATTCCATAAAGGAACACCATACAGCCCTAGCACATTGTGAGAAAATGGGAAAGGTACAAACAAGATAGACAGATGCTCACCCTCAGGCTACAATAATGATAAAAGCAACAAAAACTACCTGCATATTTTCACATTTGAGCATTAAAAAGATCAACTGGACCTAGAGGGACGTATCAATGGTAATATTCACCTCCCAAGTGCAAGGCTCTGGGTTCCACTTTAACAAACAAAACAAAAGGTTAATGTTTGAAGACAACCAAGACATAGTACATCATGGGAAATGTATAAGATTCTAGATTCAGGGGACCCAACCTCAGTAAAACAGATTCTAACCTCAGCTCCACAATTAAGACAGTTTGAAAACCTGGGGGAAAAAATTTAATGAATCACTATTTAAAAAGGTTATTAACTACTTACTTCGAAAAGTGGTATCTCAAAAGAAAGGAAAAAGAGGTAGAAGCATAACTGCAAGACTGAGCCCATCCTAGGCAACTTGGCAACCCAGTGAGGCCCTGTCTCAGAATAAAAAAATAAAAATTAAAAAAGGCTAGAGATGTCCTTCAGTTTGAAGGCCCTGGGTTCAATTCCTAGTACCAGAAGAAAAAAAGAAAAGAAAGATAAAATTTAATGCCACCTTTCTAGAAAAACTACATTTCTAAGACCAACAGTGTCTGCTAACACATCGGTGTTATCAGTGGCTGCTAACACATCGGTGATGAGACCAGACCTTAGCAACCTCTATTAGTCTGGGTCAAGAGAGTTTAAGGAAAACTGCAGAAATCAGCAGATGGAGTAGATATTAGGTGACTACTCAGGAACACTAGAGAGGTAACCAAAACAGTAGGAAGAAAGCACAATCAATATGCTCTTGGGGAAGAAGCTCCTTGGGTACATGCAACACACACATAGAAAGAGGAAGTTAATCAACAGGATGCTGACTGCCAAAACCTAATTTTTTTTTCTTTTTTTTTTTGGTAGTGGGGGGGTCGAGCTCATGACTGAGCACTTATAAGGCAGGTACTTTTGCTGCTAAGCTAAATCCCTAGCCACAAAATCTTAATTCTACTCTGCAAGAAAATGATTACCTGTACTTTATAACATTAGTATTAGTGCTATTTTTATAATTAAAAGATACTTTCCATATTAGCAAAAAAGAAGCCAGGCATGGTGGCACACATCTATACCCCAGCTACTCAGGAAGCTTCAGGCAAAAGCATTACAATTTCAAGGCCAGCCTGGGCAACTTAATTATACCTTGTCTCAAAATTCAAGAAATATGTAGATCAACAGTAGAGTGCTTTCCCAAGATGTGCAAGGCCCTAAAACATCACCAATATTGAAAGGGAAAGGGAATGGGAGAAAGGGAGAGAAGAAAGGAATAAAAGAATGAATCACAGTTGAGCCAGAAAATGATACAACAACAAATGCCCTCAACTATGCCAATGCTAATGCACTACCTATACAAAGTCAATTCAGAACAAGGAAAAGTCATCATGAAGGAAAGAAGGGTGGAAGGAAAATGAGTGTCAAGAGTTGTGATGGGGGCATGAATAGGATCACAGTACAATATACACATGAAACCCCTCCAGAAAAGGTTGACACTAAGGGGAAGATGGGACAAGCAGGGTGATGGGGAAACTGATTACCAAGTACACACGTATACAAACCTGCAAAAGTGAAACCCAGTGAAATCTGTATAACTAACACGCACTAATTTTAAAAATGGAGAGGAAAATCATCTTTCCTAAAGAATTCAAAATAAAGAAAAATTATTACAAGAACTTAAATAGGAAACCAAAAGGCATTTTCAGAGTTATCTGGAAAGATGACTCTGTATAAATAAAGCATATTTGTCATTTATTCTGATTCCAACACCAAAAATATGTGAAACAAGGAAAATAAACACAACATAAATCACAAATGTTAAGTAAAACTTAAAAAACAATGCATACAAAGAATCTGATGACTATTAATTGTAGAGGTAATGACTTTTGTGGTTTTTCCATTATCTCCTTATATAAAAATGAATCATTAGTTACAAAAGTTTAAAAAAAAAAAAAAAAGATACTGCTACAGCAGCAGAAATGAATACAGAAGGCAGGAATTAAGAAGACCTTTAGAGAAATTGTGAAATTACTGCCTCCTTTCAGAAAGCAGAAGAAATTCACTATTTCAAAAAAGACAACAGAAATCAAATACTATTGAAAAGGGACATCCAGGCCAGGCATGGTAATGCACCCTATAATCCTAGCATTTGAGAGACTGAGGCAAGATTACCACAAGTTCAAAGCAATCACCAGGTCTGGCCTACATAATGATTTCAAATCAGCCTGAACTACATATGAGATCTGTGTCAAAAACAAAAAAGAAAAAGAAAGGAAGAGAGAAAGAAAGAAAAAAAAATTAAGCAGCACTACTTGGAAAGGGTCTGGCAGACTTGCACAGGGTCTCTTGGAGATCCAAACACAAATGTTCTTGTGCAGAATATAAGGAAACTAGTAGGAAAATCTAGGAGAAGACAGTGCAGTCCACCAGGCACTGTAACTCCCCCTCTACAGTGGGCAAAGAGCCTCTGGTTGTTTTGGTCCCACTGTAACAACACCACATCCAAAAGCAAGCTTCAAAAGCTTCCAACAGATCCCTGGAACAAAGCCCAAAAATACCTAAAGGAAACCACCAAACCTAGCTATCATAAAACTTGATGTCCAGGATCTGTACACAACAGCAGGAAAATATAACCAGAATTACAAACACAAGCATGAATGAATGCAATGTGAGAAACAACAGATGTTTAAAAATGACCCAAACTTCAGATCTACTAATGAAAAAAGCATTACTTACAATGAAAAAAATGCTGTTCAGGATTAAGAGTAAGCTAGACCCTGCAGAAGAGAACCCTGGAAGCCTTGGCACAACAAAAAAGGAGGACTATAGAAACTGCAATGGGCCACAAGTTGTGGACAATCAGCAGAAGAACGATGGAGCCAGTCTCAGGGGAGATGAGGAAGTGGCAGGACAGAACAGTCCACAACACTTTCCAAATCCAATGAAAATCACAAACCCTCAAATTCAAGCTCAGCAGAACCAGCAAAAGAAGCACAAAACAACGCGTGTCATAATTACAGTGCTAGAAACAAAACACTAAAAATGATGAGAAATATACTCTTGGAGAAGACACCCACCAAGAGACTATAAGGCAAAATCTTTAAAACACTTAAGGAAAAATAATAAAATTCTATACCCAG